TTTTTTTAAGAGATTTTTGTTATAGGGTGTGTGCACTCACCAGAGAGACAGAAAGTGAGAAATCATCCCCCAGTGGGGAATGGCCATCACAGTCCCTTTTTCATTCACCTCTCAGGATTGGGGCACATACATGCAGACCTGGCGTGAGTTTTTTTTTTTAAGCTGCCGGGTCTGGGACTTGGACCTCATTCAACTATGTATGAGTCCAGTGATGTAACTGTTATGCCATTTGCTAGTCCCAGGTTACCGGATTTTAATTTACAAATTATTTTTCATAGTTCCTGTTTCTTGAGTGGTTATTAAAAATGTTAATGTGGGGGCTTGCAGATGCTGTGGAGGTTATGGCACTGTATCCTAATCAGCTGCCTTAGTTCCTTTTCTTCCAGACACCTCTCAGGATTTGGGGCATGCACACACATGTGCCAACTATGATTTTCAAGCCACTGGGTCTGGGACTCGAACGGCATAATCGGCTATGTGGTATTTAGCTGCCTTAACCTCCGTGCCACCTATTGATTCATAATAATGAGTGTTAAAATGAATTTTATCAATTATTTTGTAATTCTAAATATTAAGACAAATACCTATTGTTATGTTAAACAGTGATAAAAATATCTAAGAATATATGCTTACGTTAAGGAATGAATACCTTAATACTTTTTGCTTTAGATTCTGGAATTGAAGACATGCTTTGGACAGAAAAGTATCAACCTCAGAATGCCAGCGAACTCATAGGCAACGAGTTAGCTATAAAAAAATTACACAGGTTGGTAACATTTTAAAGGAATTGAGAAATAGTGTTTCAAGTTAGTTTTATTTTATATATTAACATTTCTATATTATAATTAAAAAGTAATATATGGTAAAATCTTTAAAAAATTATTTTCTTTTAGAGGTTTTTCCTTAGGGTGTGTGTGCTTGCTGGAGAGAGAGACAGAGACAGTAAGAGGGAAAGTGAGAAATCACCCCTTGGTGATGCCCATACCACAATTCCATCTCTGTTCTTCTCTGGGACCTTGGTCACAGACATACACGTGCCTGTGTGAGTTTCAAGCCATTGGATCCGGAACTCTAACCAAGGTTGGCCATGTGGGAGTCCAGTGATATAACTGTTCTGCTATCTGCTGGTCCCATTAGAGAAGAACTTTAAGGGAAAAGTCTCTCTTAGATTTCTACTCAGAGGTAACCATGTTTGAAGGTTTCTTGTAAAATCTCTTGAAACAATTCTATGCATATATTACTTCCTTCCTAACAAGTCATATCACTACTAATTCAGGTTCACACCCCTTCACCTAAAATTCCCACATCCAAAAGTTCTGAAAACTGGAAGCATATTTACTTTATTACATAAAATTTATTATGGCCTTTATCAATCACACTTAGTAAGAATGCATACTGTTTGTGTGTGTGTGTGTGTGTGTGTGTGTGTGTGTGTGTTTCAAGTCACCATGACTGGGACTCAAACTACATTTGGCATGTCGGACCCAGCTCCATTTTGCATAGCGTCTACCACTACAGAGCTAGCCCCATACATGTTATTCAATATTACGTGGTATGTATATACCTCCCCAGACCCCGTTATGGGCATTATATACATGTTCCAAGTTACCTTTCCTATTATCTAGAAAATTCTGAATTCTTGGGGTAAGCAGGTGGAGTGGTGGTTTAGGGTGCTAGACTCCCACATGGCCAACCATTGTTCAAGTCCTGGACATGGTGGCTTGCTCTCTCACTTTCCCCCTCTCTCTCTCACTTTCCCTCTCTCTCTCTCTCTTTCTCTCTCTCACTCTGTCCCTATCTGGTCAGACTAAAATAAAATAAATAAAGTTAAATAAATAATTCTTTAAAAAAAAAAAAAGAAAATTCTGAATTCTTAAACTACCTGGCCTAAAGGATTTCCTCTAAGGAATTGTGAACTCATAATAATAGTTAATCCCATGAACTTGGTACTGTGTTGTTGGTATAGGTAGTCTAATTCCAGACCAAGAATTAATCTTTCTTTTTTTCCCCCACATTTTATTGTGAATTAATCTTTCTGCTTATACTTAGCATTGCATATTACACCTATTTCATGACATCACACAATCTTTTTGATTGCTGTATATTGGTTTCTTATTTGAGTATACTATAATGTCTTTTCCCTTACTGTTATACTTTCTTTTTTCCTTTTAGAAGTTAATATTAAAATGTTGCAGGGCATATTCTAACACTTTTAGTCTTATATATTTAGGCAAAATTACTTCATTTAAAATTATTCATGCCTATGTAAAAATATGTTGCCATTTAATTCAGAATCACTAAGGAGTTCTTAAAACTTGACTGCATGCCATAACTTCTGCAAACAAGTATCTTAACATAAAGTCTAAGATATAGCCATATTCTGCAAATTATTTTTATTAATATATATTTTCTGTGGCAGTTGGTTGAAAGACTGGAAAAGAAGAGCTGAACTGGAAGAAAGACAGAATTTGAAAGGAAGAAGAGATGAGAAACAGGAAGGTATTTTGTGTCATTTTTAAAATAATGTTACTAAGCCTTTTTTTTTTTTTTTTTTTTTTAAGAGAGAGACTTTTGCTATAGGGCACATGTGCTTGCTGGAGAGACAGAGAAAGACAGACAAAAGTGAGAAATCACCGAGGGAAAGGCCATGCTGTGGTCCTTCTCCTCCATTCTCTTCTCTGGATTTTGAGCATAGACGTACATGTGCTGGGCATGAGTTTTGAGCCGTTGGGTCTGGGACTCGAACTGTGGTTGACTACTTGGGAATCCAGCGAATGGCATCTGCTGGTCCAGTGAAAGCCATCTGCTGGTCCCAGTTATTAAATATTTTTAAAGTAAAATTTTTGTAAAATTTCTTAATAGTTTATATTTGGTTTTCTGCTTTCTTTATTTCTTTCTTTCTTTTTTTCTTTCTTTTTTTTTTTTTTTAAATTTTGCTATAGTGATGCACACATTGCCGGGGAAAAAGTGGAGGGGATAGAGAAAATGCAAAATCAGCCCTTTCCCCCATGTCAACACTGTAATACCTTCTCCATTCGCCTCTTGGGATTTGGGGCATGCACACACTTGTGCCTGGCATGAGTTTCAAGCCACCAGGTCTGGGAATTGAACCACTACATTGGCTATGTGGGATCCAGTCACCCTAACTACCACGCCACTTGCTGGCCCTGATCTTCTACTTTAAAAAAATTTTTTTTAGAGAATTGTTTCATTTTATTTATCATTGTTATTATTTTTAAATTTTCTACAGGGCACATACGCTCACCAGAGAGATTGAGAGAGAGAGAGAAAGAGAGAGAAAGTAAGAAAGCAAGCCGCCAGGTCTGAGACTCAAACCATGGTTGGCCATGCAGGAGTCCAGCCCCTTAACGACCATGCCACCTGCTGACCCAGTTTTCTACTTTTTATAAATTCATTTTTCACAGTTTATTTGCAAGAAGTTTGTGGGATTTGATTATTGGCTTTCATGATGTAGAATTGTTGTCTAAGCAATTACATATGTATTTGAATAATTTTTCAGACTTGTCGGATAGCATAGACTTCAAAGGCAGTTCAGATGATGAAGAGGGTCGTCTTTGCAATACTGTTCTTATAACAGGGCCAACTGGTGTGGGGAAGACTGCTGCAGTGTATGCTTGTGCTCAGGAGCTTGGATTTAAGGTTAGTCATGGCCATGATGGAAGAATGTTGATATAATAATTACCCTTCAATCAAAATAAACAATCATTGTGCCCTTTTTTCATATATTCTTCTTTTAGATATTTGAAGTGAATGCATCTTCCCAGCGCAGTGGAAGACAAATTCTATCTCAACTGAAGGAAGCTACTCAGTCCCATCAAGTAGATAAGCAAGGTGTAAACTCACAAAAGCCCTGTTTCTTTAATAGCTACAGCATAGGCAAGTCGCCAAGTAAGTAAATTATTTTCCATAGGCCATAACCTTTTGAAAAAATAAAATCTGAGAAAATAATTTTAATTTTGCCATTATATTTTACCTTCTTTTACACATACCTATGCTTTCTGCCCCAACAATTTTAAAACAAATTTGAGGGACCAGCAGTTAGCGTAATGGCTATGTCGCTGGACTACCATGTAGTCGACCGTGGTTCGCATCCAGGACCCGGTGGCTTAAACTCACACCAGGCGTGTGTGTTTGCGTGCCTAAGATTTGAGGGGAGAATGGAGGAGAAGGGATTATGGCTTGGCCATTCCCCCTGGGGGGTGATTTCTCGCTTTCTGTTTCTCTGTCTTTCTGTCTGGCTGGTGAATGCACACACGCTATAGCAAAAAAAACCCTCTCTCTCCAAAAAAACCATATTTGGCCATCATGTCATTTTACCCATATCTTTGAATATGTATCTCTAAGTCATGAGAAATGTTTTTAGCATACCTTTTGGGTTATTGGAGTAGTCATGACATATTTTTGCATAGAAGAAATATATTATAGGCCAGCAGCTGGCGTGGTGGTTAAGGCGCTGGACACTCCCATGTGGCCAACAACAGTTTGAGTCCTGGAATGAAATGAAATTAAAATAAATGAATGTATAAAAATTAAATAAATACTTCTAAAAAAAAGAAGAAAGAAAAAATATGTCATGACATTTCTGAATACCTAATATAACATTATAGTCAGACCTAACCTAAAAGAATTAACTATAGTCCTTAATAGCATCTAATATACAGTCATATTAGTTTTCCTTTTTTTTCCCTTTAATCTCTTTTCTTTATTCATGAAGCAAGAGAGGGGAACCCCCCAGTAGGGCATGGCCATGTTGCAGTACTTTTTCCTCCATTTCTTCATCCTGTCAGGATTGGGGGCTGGCACACATGCCTGGCATGTCTCTCAGGCTGCTGAGGCTGGGAATTGGCCCACAGGCAGCCATGTGAGATACAGCCTTCTATGCACAGCACTTATCTGCTGTTTTAAGAGGCTGGCCCTCCCTTGTGTGTCTTTTATCTTTCTGACAATTCTCTTACCCTCCCTTTTCTTGCCATTTGTTGAAGCACCTGAGTTGTCTGAATTTCTCACACTCTGAACTGGCTGCTGACTGTCCTTGAGGAACAGTTAGTATATTTCTCATCCCCTTATTTCTCGTAAACTGGTAGCTCTATGGGCTTGGTTAGTGTCAAGTTCTGTTCAGGGCTAGCATATACAGCACAGGTGGGCTGTTCGCAATCCCCCCCTCAGTATCCCTGGGGGATTGGTTCCAGGACACTCCCCAACACACACACAAATACACAAACCTCCAAATCTGTGATACTCAAATCCCTTGTATATATTAGTGTAGTATTTGCATATAACTTATACATAACCTCTTACATACTATAAGTTACCTTTACATTACTTATACCTTATATAATGTAAATGACATATAAATAGTTGTTATACTGTATTTTTTTCTTTTTAAAAATATTTATTTATTTAATTTGACCAGAGAGGGAGAGAAAAGGAAAGTGAGAAAGTAAGCCACCAGGTCCGGGACTCGAACTGCAGTCGGCCATGTGGGAATCCAGTGCCCTTAACCATCACACCACTTGCTGGCCACCCTCTTTTTTTTATTTTTTAAAAAAGTACTTATTTATTTATTTTATTATTATTTTTAAATTTGACTATATTTTAAAAATTTGTATTATTTTCTATTGTTATGGTTTTTTAAGAATTATTTATTTTCATTTATTCATTCATTTTAATTTGACCAGAGAGACACACACGGAGGGAGGGGGGGAGAAAGTAAGCCACCAAGTTTGGAACCCAAACCATGGTCAACCATGTGGGAGTGTCCAGCACCTTAATCACCATGCCACCTGTTGGTCCCATTATGTCATTTTTATTGTTTGTTTTCTCCCCTATTTCTCATCTGATGTTAGTCGAGTTCGAGGATGTAGATCCCATGGATATGGAGGGCTGACTGTACTTCCTATGACATCAAAGCAGGAGACACCTTTTCACTTTGAGTGATAATTAAGAGTGATTCCCCCAGGGACCAGCAGTTAGCGTAACAACTATTGTCACTGGACTCCAATCTATTCAACCATGGTTTGAGTCCCAGATCCGGTGGTTTAAACTCACGTCCGGCGCGTGTGCGTGTGTGCCTAAGATCCCGAGAGGAGAATGGAGGAGAATGGATTGCGATGCGGTCATCCCCCCGGGGGGTGATTTTTCGCTTTCGGTCTCTCTGTCTCTGTCTTTCTGGCGAGTACATGTGCCCTATAGCAAAAACCTCTCCAAAAAAAAAAAAGAGTGATCCCCCTGAAAAGAGTTATCCATGGGTTCAAATGTTTCATCTGACCATCCATTATAAAATCCCTCCATTACATTCCTCTCTTATTTAGTGATAGTTTGCAGTTATTAGTGACCTTTGTATAGCAGGTTCATTATTCATTAGGGATTAAAAAAAAAAAAAAGGATGATTGTGTATCTCAGCCTTTTTGCTTTTAGTTAGAACTCTAAAGAAGCCTATTCATCAAGTATTTGGATACTTTGAAATGCAGCTAGTAGGCTGTATTCATTTTTTATTTATTAGCTTTTAGGGTAATGATGTCCTAGCAGCCTCCATAGTTTACCAATGAGTTTTTCACAGCACAGTTTTTTTGTGTGTGTATTATTATGAACGTTTGTATATACTTAATATATTTCAGTCCTTTGCCTTCATTATTCTTCACTGCTTTTAAGATTTTTGTCTTTATCACTGGTTTTAAGCAATTTGTTTATCTTGTACCTTGGTGTAGTTTTCTTCATGGATCTTATGCTTGAAGTTTGTTGAGTTTCTTGGTTGTATTGCCTTATAGTTTTCATCAAATTTGGGTAAACTTGGGACCAGCTGTTAGCGTAATGGCTATGTCACTGGACTCCCACATAGTCGACCGCAGTTCACATCCCGGACCTGGTGGCTTAAACTCACTCTGGGCGCGTGTGCGTGCGTGCCCAAGATCCCGAGAGGAGAAGGGAGGAGAAGGGATTACGGCGTGGCCATCCCCCCTGGGGGGTGATTTCTCGCTTTCTGTCTCTCTGTCTCTCTCTGTCTTTCTGGCGAGCACAGGCGCCCTATAGCAAAAACCTCTCCAAAAAACCAAAAAAGAAATTTGGGACAACTTCAACCATTGTTAGTTTTTTTCCAGAGGTTTTTGTCATAGGGTGCGTGCGCTCGCCAGAAAGACAGAGAGAAACAGAGAGACAGAAAGCGAGAAATCACCCCCTAGG